CTCAGGTTTTTAAGATTTAAAAGAAGCAGAACCACCTAATTTCCATTCCATCTTTTCAAGAATTGAGTAAACGAAGAACTTACCAGTCTGCACGGCAAAGGACCAAACAATGGTTTATCTTCATCACTCAAAATTCTTTCTGCAAGTTAAAAATGGTTAAGATAGTAGATTTTAAGTTCTGTAGATTTTAGCATAATTTCAAAAAAGGTAAAAAAGACAATTCTTTCTCCAGAAAGCACAATACTGTCAAGTTTCAGAATCTTTAAGTCATTTCATAAGAATCACCTTTGGATGAAAAGTAAAAATGAACACACATTTCCTCAACTGACAAGAAGCTATAACCACCACCAAAATGATTTCTCTGTTGGCTGTGGTTAATTTATACACTGTTAATCTAGTATTTTGTTAGTATACTAAGTCTTTTTATTATTTCTTCATGTCGTTGCACACGTTAAACATTCCCTTTAAAAAAAATTCTACATGTAATTCATATCAATGTATGCTTCTGACTTACAGAGGGACAACTGTAAATCTCTTACCCACGCTCTGGATGGTGTATGCACAACTGCCCCAACACATTATGGGCACACGGGGATCATCTTCATTGGGATGAACCTTCAGTCCCACCTTATAAGTAGCGGTTCCAAATGTTGTTAGCATTTCTTTTATGCTCTCAGAATAAGGGTTCCTGAAGTCAATATATATAAAATAATATCAAAACAATGTATACACATCAATCAAATGGTTTAGTTTCCTAACAGCTTTTTGCCATATTAAAAATTGAACCACTTGAGCCAGGCTCAGTGACTTGTGCCTATAGAATCCTTTAGCTGGGTGCAGTGGCATGCACCTATAGGCCCAGCTACTCGGAAGGCTGAGGCGGGAGGATCACTTGAGCCCAGAAGTTGAGACCAGCTTGTGCAATATGTGGAGACTCTATCCCTTTCTCCCCCAAAATAAATAAATAAATAAATAAAATTGAACCACTTAATATGTATCCAGAGACAGTTATACGCAAAGGGATAATTCGAGATATGCAAACTATCCCTGCCTGAGAGGAGTTATGCTCTTTGGTTTAGCAGGGGTGAGGCACAGGGCTGAAAAGAGAATAATTAGGCAAAAGTCTACATACTAAACTGTAAGACCCTTGACCTTCTTTCCCATCTTGAGAACATCAGCAATGTACACTCACAGCCATAGCGATTAGTTTTTCCAGTGAAAAATCCTCAGGGGAAACTCATTCTATACACTGACATTTAGGGGTTCCCAAGTAAAAGCCTGGTGGTGTCCTCATCACCTTCCTCTGAGGCTCACAAGTCAGCAAGCTCCAACCTGCTCACCAAGTACCCAACAAGCTTCCCAATGCCATTCTTAGTTACCAAAGGACCAATAAACATTTAAAGAAAGTATCAAACAGATAAGTCAAAACAAACAAATAGAAAAAAAGAACTCAGGGAAAATAGAGACGGCATAGAAAGGAGAAAACTTGTAAGAAAATTAGAGGATCAGTCTAACGGGGCCAACAGTGAGCTAATAGTGGCACCACCTCAAAAAACAAAATCCAAGAGGAGAAAATTATCTAAGAATCAACATAAAAAATTATTAGAACTGAAGGACATGAATCTTCAGATTCAAATAGTTTATTGAAAATCTAGCAAAATGAATGAAAAAAAGATTCATATACCAAAGTATATCACAGAGAAATTTCAGAATAAAGAGAAGATTTCAACAGTTTTCAGAAGTAATAAAGTTACAAAGGAGCTGGGTGCAGTGGCTCATGCCTATAGTCCCAGCTACTTGAGAGGCTGAGGCAGGAGTATCACTTGAGCCCAGGAATTCCACACCAGCCTGGGCAATTTAGTCAGACTGTGTCTCTAAAAAAAAAATAAAAAAAATTTTTAAAAAGTTACAAAGAACAGGAATCAGAATGGCATTAATTTCTCAATGGATGTTAGAAAGTAGTAAAATAATGCCTTCAAAATCTAGATGAAAAATTAATTTTTTAAAATTTATTTTGAGACAGGGTCTCACTTTGTCATCCAGGCCAGAGTGCAGTGGCATTATCATAGCTCACAGTAACCTCAAACTCTTGGACTCAAGTGATCCTCCTGCCTCAGCTTCCCAAGTAGCTGGAACTACAGGTGTGTGCCACCATACCTCGCCAATTTTTGTATTTTCTGTGGAGACAGGGTCTTGCTATGTTGCTTAGGCTGGTCTCAAACTCCTGGCCTCAAGCAATCCTCCCATCTCAGCCTCCCACAGTGCTAGGATTATAGGCGTGAGC